TTTGAGTCTCAGCACCCACATGGGGGTTCACAACCATCTGTAACTCCAGTTCCAGGGGTCCTGATGCCCTCTTCTGACCTCTGTGGGTTCCTGTACCCACATGGCATACACATACACACATACACACATACACACACACACACACACACACACACACACACACACACACACACATACACACACACACACACACACACACACACACGCACACACATGTTAAAAAAAAAAAACCTAAGGAAAAAAAGTGAGAAATGCTGGACAGTGGTGGCGCATGCCTTTAATCCCAGCACTCGGGAGGCAAGCCAGGCAAATCTCTGTGAGTTCGAGGCCAGCCTGGTCTATAGAGGGAGATCCAGGACAGGCACCAAAACTACACAGAGAAACCCTGTCTCAAACAAACAAACAAACAAAGGTAAGATAAATTCCAGCCATTTCTGAAACAGCCCCAAGCATACTTCATCACTTCATTTTCTTTTGCTTTGATTTTAGACAAGATCTCACATAGTCCAGGCTGGCCTCCAATGCACTGTATAGCCAAGGCTAGTCTGGAACCCTTGATCCTTCTGCCTCAGGCTCCCAAGTACTGGGACTACAGGTCTGTACCACCATACCCAGCCACTCCTGACACTTTACAGTACATACTTATGCTGAACGGTATTCTGGGCATTGATGATAATAAAATTAAAATCAGTGAGCTCTGAAAAATGGTGAAGACACTCTAATAGTCAGCCAAGATTCTTTATGTAAAAATAAACACTCATGACCATGTCATCAATATGTGAATTTGCTTTTACCTTTAATGAATGGTAAAATGACATGCATTAGCTTGAAATAAACGGGTTTATACTTTAGTATCAGTAAATGTTTGTGTACATATTTTATACTCCTATATTCCCAAGTTCACATAGAAATTCCTCAAATCTTAAGGTGTCACTAGTGGAAAAAGTTTGAGAGTCTCAAGCAGCTCACTCCTGTAATCCCAGGACTGGGAAGCAGAGGCAGGCTGATCTCTGTGAGTTCGAGGCCAGCCTGGTCTACATGATGAGACTCTGTCTACAGAAGGTGGGGGAGGAGGGGGGGGGGACGAGGAGGAGGGGGAGGAAGAGGAGGAGGAGAAGCTCTAAACTGAACCAGATGTAGTGGTACACACACCTATAACCCCAGCCAGAAGGATCTGGGTTCCTTGCCATCCTCGGCTACATAGGGAACTGGCTCACAACCATCCCTAACTCCATCCAGATCCGCCGGCACCAGGCATATACGTGGTGTACATACATACACATAGGCAGAACACGATAAGCATAAAATAAATATTTTTAAATTAAAGATAAATAAACGCATTTTGTGTGAAGGGTTGGGGTTCGTGGAGATCATATGACAGTCTCGGGACTTGGTTTGCTCCTTCTGTCAAGGGGGTTACCATAGATCGCACTCGGGCATCTGTTTGACCACCAGGGCCTTCATCCGCTGAGCCACCTCGCAAGCCCCAGAAACTAATTTCTTACATCGAGTTCAGAAAGTTTGCAAAACCCTGCACCACACAGTCCTGCCTCTCCCAAATGACGAGAGGATGTGTGATGCTCACAACAGCTTAGATGGGGCTCTTTGTTTTCCTGGCTTGGACTCCTGGAATCCTCACCACACCCTCAGCTCTGATTGCTATTTGACAGATGGTGACAGACTAGGAGACAGCCCAGGCTGGATAGAGGTCACCCAGCTGGGAGGGAGGGGAAGGGGGCGGGGCCAGTCCCTCCTGAGCCTGCGCACTTGATACCTGCCCACTTGCCCACTGGTCCCGCCGGCTCTATCAGCTCCCACCTACACGGAGAGAGCGCCCAGAGCCAGCCAGTCCTCAGAGGCCCCTTAGAACTGGAGGCACATCCTCCTTGCTCACCGAGTCAGCCCCCTTTTTGAAAGCTAGAGAGCCGAAGCCTCTCATCCAAAAACACAAAAGCTGCTAAGTCTCTCCAAGAATCCACCATGCTACCCCCTCCTCCAAACTCCCTTATTGAGAAGCATCGGGGAAAGACGGCTAAGAGTGCGTCCTTGGCTTCCTAGGTTCAAATGCCATCTTTCAAAACAGTGCCTGACAGGGAGGGGCTTGGTGGTTCAGGCCGGTAATTCCAGCCAGGTACGTGGGAAGCAGAAGCACAGGAAGGTTGTGAGTTTAAAGCCAGCCTAGGTAACTTAATGAGATTCTAAGTCAAATTGAATAGGAAGCCGAGCATGGTGGATCCTGTCTAGTCCCCGCACTAGAGAAGCAGAAGCAGGAAGATCTCTGTGAATTCAAGGCCAGCCAGGAAGAGAGAGAGAGAGAGAGAGAGAGAGAGAGAGAGAGAGAGAGAGAGAGAGAGAGAGAGAGAGAGAGAGAGAGAGAGAGAGAGAGAGAGTCTCAAAAATGAAATAAAAAGTAAAATAAAAACTGGAAGTGTCGTTCAGCCACAGAGTGCTTGCCTAGAAGTCTCCAGTGAGAGGCTGTAGGTGTAGCCCAGTGGTAGACCCTGCCTAGAATCCCCCAGTGAGGGGCTGGGGGTATGGCTCAGTGGTACAGCCCCTGCCTAGAATCCCCCAATGAGGGACTGGGGATGTGGTTGAGTGGTAGAACCCCTGCCTAGAATCCTCCAGTGAGGGGCTGGGGGTGTGGTTCAACACTAGTGCTCTTGACTAGAATGCACAAGGTCATAGAGTGACTCCCTAAAAAAGCTTTAGTATCTAGGTGACAGCATACTCTCCAGGCCTGTTTCCTTTTCTGCAAAAAGGAAATCATAATAATAACCTAACCATACGGCCATGGTTAAGTCTCAAATTAGTTAGTACCTACAAAATTCTTAAAACGGCGGTCTATACGTCTCTATGTTGGGACATGTTCTCAGCAGCCCTGTACGATTAGACTATTTACCACTGAGGTTGTTTCAGGGAAAGAGAATCCATTGCATGCACTCACATTAAGTCAGAAACTGGGAAGGTTAGATTCTATCTGCCTGGACCACCTTTAAAAAAAATATATGGGGTGTGTGTGTGTGTGTGTGTGTGTGTGTGTGTGTGTGTGTGTGTGTGTTTTGGAGGTCAGAGGACAACTTGCAGGAGTTATTTCTCTCCTTCCACAATGTGGGTCACAGCTGGTTGGCAAGTACCTTTACCTACTGAGCCCTCTCACCAGCCCAGACGTGAACTTCTTACCACTGAATCACGGTTTGATCCTTTACAGGGTTTCAGCGTGAATGGGACAATTTCTGAATGAATAATATAAGACCCGGGGGGGGGGGGTAAGGATATACCCAAGTCACCCAGCAGGTAAATGACAGAGCTAGGATTCAAACCCAGGGTCCTGTATGTCCAGGTTGAAGCCTACCTGTGTGCCAATGACTCCCGCATACGGCATTGTAAAGGGAGGAGGAGAGGGTGAAGCTACCCTCTTCTAGCATGGGTTGGGTCTCTGGGGGCCCTGGTCCTGGACCCTGTCCAGGCTGAGTAACCATCCCCCCAAAAGCACTGGAGTGTCACGGATAAAGGGAGAGGGTGCAGCCCCCTCCACCACCTCTGATTGGGGCCTTGCAATCCCCCAGGATTTGGTGCTTGGAAAGCTGACGTTGGGTTGCTATGGTGATGGGTTTGGGGCGGTTGCCATGACAGCAGAACTAGCCTTGGTTTAAAAATATCTAGGAGGAGGTTTGTGTTTGTGTGAGTGTGAGTGCCCGGCCGACCATGCTGTTTTGCGTGGGTCCAACCAGGAGTGTTTGGGAGGGCTGGGTGGAACTGGGACTGCGGGTCTGACTTGGGGGAAGGGTGGGGGCTTCACAACACACGGCAATCCAAGTGTGACGTGCACTTGTCACTGAGTGGCCGTTAAAGTCCAGTCATCGTGTGTGCCAGACTTCACTTGTCCTGTATCTAAATGTGCACAGTTTTTGTGGAGCTGTAACGAAGGCCACTCAGTTTAGACTCCCCATGTCATCAACATGTATGTCTTATGTAAGCAAGGCTGTATGTCTCTTGTGGCTTTGATCACATATGTGTAACTTCAGGGGGGGTACAAATTTGGAACTGTGAGTCTGAATACGCCTACATGGGACATATTTGGATATTAGATGTCACTGCTTTGATATTAAATACACATCTATCTATTTGTGTGTAGGAGCCTGTGCTATGGTTTTGGTCTGAATGACTGAGTGTGCATTTTAGGGATGTGTGTGTGTGTGTGTGTGTGTGTGTGTGTGTGTGTGTACACACAAGTATCTCGGTGGTCCTCTCCTGTCAGTCTTTCTAAATCAGTGTGAAATGTGTGCCCCATGTGACTGTGTATGTATGTTAGGGGAGAACTTCACCTGCAACTCCGTGGATGCTGGGAGAGGTCACCTGTGTACTGTGGGTCTGTGAGATGCTAAGGTCCTAAGGTGTGGATTTCAGCCCAACCTCAGTATTTCCCTGCATCCCCTCTTGCCTCTTCTCTGTCTCCATGGCAACCAGCTCCTCAGCTCCCTCCAGGAAGATCCAGACTGCAGTGGACCACAACCCCCTCCCATCCCCCTTGGCTGAAGGGACAATGGGGGGAGGGGACAGACGGGCGTCCACCTCGTCCACCCTGGGCCATCTGCTGCCTCCACTGTCCTGGGGACCTGAGAGTGCAGCAAGGGAGGGGTAGGTGGGGTGGAGCCACAGACCCCCTCCCCAGCTGCCACAGTTACCCCTTCCCGGACCCTTCTGGGGATAGACTTGCCTCTGTCTGACCAAGCTGAAAAAGAAGGAAGCCCTGGAGACCAGGCATCTAGGGAGCAGAAAACGCATATATCTGAGAACACAGAATATTGGCAACAACCCACTCCAAGGAAGAGCCTCCTATCTCCTATGGCTTCAGGCTTTGGAATTAGGCTTGTCCTCTGTCCAAATCCCAGTTTTCTCTCTGTCTAGCCATGTGCCCTTGGAAAAGCCTTTCTGCCGCCTCCACTCCGTCATCTGAAAATCAAAATTTTCTAACAAGCGACCAGAATGATAATACTTACTCTACAAAGCACTAAGGCTGTTTTGTTCCGTGCTGTGTCCCGGGGTCTAGGGCAGTATCTGTCACTCAGTGGGTGGGCCATCAGTACTGCTGATAGAACCGAGTGCCAGTCGGCTTCTGTGACAGCTACTTGCTTTAACTAGATTTCAGTCCTGTGAGCCCGACAGTAGCCTTACGTCCACTCTTCACGGAGAGATGGACGAGCCATCGGGGGATTTCTTTGCTGACAGATGACACTTGAAGGGGCATTTCTGGCTTTGACCAAGTGATAGCAGACTGCTTGCCCTTGTTTCCTTTACTTCTTTTTCGGTTTTTTTGTGTTTGTTTGTTTGTTCTGTTTCTTGTTGCTTTGGTCGTTGTTTGCTTTTTAACAAAGGGTCTTACACTGTAACCCAGTCTGGTCTCAGACTCAAAGCAATTCTCCTGCCTCCTCCTGTCAAGTGCTGGGATTACATGAGTGAGCGCCCACGCTTGGCTGTTTCGGGTCTCTGAGGCTCAGTGTCCTCATCTGTAAGACAGAATAATGAAAGTACATTCCATCTTTGCTTCCCTGTGGGATTAAATGAGAATCTCTTACTTAGAACCACCCCTGGCACAGAGCAAGTGCACAAGAAATGCTCTTTAGAAGTGAAACGCAGGTAGGGGCGGCGTGCACATCCCCCTAATCCCGGCACTTGGGGGTTCGGAGGCAGGAGAATCCGGAGTTCAAGGCTAGCCTGAGCTACATAGTGAGATCAAAGCCAGCTTTGGGTTACATTTGGCTCTGTCCCGCCCTGCCCCTCGGCAAATAAAAGGGTGAAGGGTAAGGAAGGAAGGCGTGGAGGAGCCTCATGGTCCTTATTATACCCTGCAGGGGGGGGAGTCAGGTCTCTGGCGTCCAAGAGTGGTGGGCGTGGCCAACCCGGAGGACCGTGGCCCAGGCTTCAAGGGTGGACCAATGGGGGCGCCGAAGGGCGTGGCCCTGCCTGGCATGGGCGTGACCTCGCGCGAGTGGGAGGGGCCAGGACGCTGTGGGAGCCTAGGCTGAGAAGATGCTCGGGCCAGCAGCCACCACCACCAGCCCCGTCGCCGCTGCCGCCCGCGCCCGCAGCCCCCCGGGCCCCCACTAGCGGCTGCCTCCGCTCCTTATCTCCGGCCCCCCGCCCTGCACAGGGCCTTGGGAGGGGGGCTCGGCCCTCCGCATCTGTGGGGAGCCCCCAAGAAAGGGCACAGGGAGGGTGTCCTGTCCCCTCTGCACCCCACGGGCTCAGCCAAGTGCCGGGCTTCGGTGATCTTTGGGAGACCAGGACCCCACCCCTCAGTTCTCCATCCCGGACCCCCCCACACACACACCCTCTCTCCACCCTGCTCTCCCCGCCCCCCCCCGTCCTCCCAGCTCTGTCAGCGCTCTCCCCCCCCAGCCCCCTCCCGCTTCCCTCCCCGCCGCTCCCCTCCCCCCTCCTCACCGCCCCCTCCCCTCCCCCCTCACCTCCCCTCCCCCTCCCCCGCCCCCCCACCATGAGGATGATGGCCGCCGGCGCGGTGCACGGCCTCTTCACGGCCTCCGCGGCCCCGCAGCCGCCGCCGCCCCCGCCGCCGCCGCCGCCGCCGCAGCCCCAGCCTCCCCAGCAGCCGTCGCCGCCGCCACAGCAGCCGCCGCCGCCGCCGCAGCCGCCGCAGCAGCAGCAGCAGCAGCAGCCGCCGCCCCAGGCCCCCCCCATGGAGCCCGAGGCCCCGGATTCCCGCAAGAGGCCCCTCGAGACGCCCCCCGAGGTGGTCTGCACCAAGCGCAGCAACACGGGAGGTGAGGCAGGGCTGCGGGACCGTGGCGTGGGGCGTGAGGGGGGGGGATCGCGCGCCGAAGGGGGCATCGCCGTCCTCTATCATCCCCCCCCCCATCCCTGGCTGGCAGGTGCAAGTGCTCCAGGGAGGGGAGGGGCGCTCCTCCGCGAGGAGCTGGGGACCCTGTCGGACCCCTTTCTCTTGTCGCCGAGGCCCCTGGGGCTGAGAGCTTTGTCTGCAATGAGAGGGGCTGGGGGGGAGGGGGTGGTAAGTGTCCTTGTGGTGTGGGGGGGAGTTAAGGATGAGGGGCGTGGGTCCCTTCTGGGCCAGTGTGTCCTTGAGGGGTGTGTGATGTGACCCTTTCGGGGCAGGGGTGTTCCCCCGGGTTTGCGTGTCCCGGTTGGGGGAGGGGAAGGAGTAGAGACAGGCCTGCCGACCGACCGGGAGCTTCTGAACCTCCCTCCCTGGGGATGTCCTGAGCAAGGGTTGTCCCGGAAAGGGGCGGGTGTGGACAGTATGCGGGACCGTGCGTGGGGACAAGCTGGGTGGGTGTGTTGGGTGACATGGAGGAAAGGGTGGGTGTGTAAAACTGGAGGGGAAGATGGAAGGCCAGGACAGGTGTGTGTATCTGTGAGGGTCCCGTAGGGCCTGGGTATGTGACATTAAGAGACCATGGATATGACAGGGTAGGGGGTGTGAGTATGTATGTGAAAGACAGGGCTGAACACAAGACCCTCCAGGGTGGGTGTGTAACAAGAGAAGGTATGTGCTTGTCACTCCGGAGGGGGCTCTTGACACACGAGTGAGAGGGGTGTGTGTGACATGCAAGGGGGTGTGTAGGGAGGCAGAAAGGGATGGACTCTGGGTGTGAACCATGAGAATATGTGTGGACTGGGGAAAGGGGTTCTTCTACATGTGGGGTACCAGTGCGTACGGGGTGGAGTGGGACCAGGAGGAGCTGGTGCAGGGATGTGACAAGGAAAAGGGTGTGGGTGTGACTCCAGAGAGGCTATGGTTGGGTGTGACACATGGAGGTGTGCAACGGTGACATCAGAGGGGGTGTGTAACTGGGGGTGGCGGGGGGTATGAAAAGGGAAAGCTGGGACTTGTGGCTCAGTGAAACCCACTGAGGGCGTGTTCACAAGGAAAGCGAAAAATGGAGTTCCAAGTGACTAGGGATGTACGCTTAGGACGCCCTGGATCCGGGAGATGTGCGACACCCAAATGTGTGTAGATGTGTAACACAGGGAGGTGTGTGTGGAAGAGCTGGGTGTGTTACACCAGAGATGGGGGGGGAGATGCAGGGGGCGACAGCATGGGTGTGCATGTGTGTGTGTATGAGGCAGCTCCATGTTAGCTACCTCGGAGACGCGTAGGCTACACCAAACGGACCCTCTGTGTGTGTCGTCTGTGAGAGGTGTGTGTGCACAGCAGAAAAGGCTAAGCAGCGGACTCGAGGCGCTGTCCTCGACGCTAGTGGGTACAGGAAACAAGTGGGACATGGGAGAAGGGGGGATCTTCCGAGCTCTCTGGCTCCCTGATAGGAAGGAGACCCCAACATAGACAGATGATCCCAAAACCTCCTCTTCATCTTGTTTGAGCGAAGAGTACATAGAACCTTCCTCCAGCTTGGCTCAGGAGCAGTCAGGTGCCGACTCCCCATGCCTCCCCTGGAATAAACGGGAGCCCCTCCTTCTTTCTCTCGCCCCAGGCCCCCTCACCTCAAGCCAGGTGGGACAGGATTCCAAGTTCCCTCGGATGGCTGGGAGGGTGCTCAGCAGAAATTGAAGGAAAGGGAAGTTGGGGGAGGGGTGAGAGAGAATTTCCTGCCTGTCTTCCTGCCCCCACCCCTAGCACAAACATGAAAATGTCCAAAGCTGGCTTCCTTTCTTCCTTCCTGCCCTGGTGCTGATGCCAGTCCCAGTAAGGATCAGGGACCCAGATCTGACTAGGCGGCAATTGCCCTGCGTGGCTGCTGGTGACGGTCCCTTCCAGTGCTGCTGTGGCAGGCTCTGAGATCCAGGTGAATTTCTCAATTCAACCCTCTGAAGGGATTATTGAAGGTGTGTGTGTGTGTGTGTGTGTGTGTGTGTGTGTGTGTGTGTGTGTTAGCCAGGGAGGGAAACTGAGGCTCAGTGAGATGAAACAGCTTATCCAAGGTCACAGGGCTCCTAAGTGGCAGATCCAGAATTTATTGAACCCTGGACTGATGGGTCACGGAGACTTAATCACTGGGATTTCGTGTTTCCTTCTACAGTGGCAAAACTAAGTGGAGTCTTTAGGGACTATAACCTGCAGACCCTCGCCCACCTCCAGACCGTATTTGGGGAAACTGAGGCCAGGAGATACAAAAAAGCGGTCCTCTGTTGAGAGAAATAGTCTGGAGCAAGGCAAATGTCGGTGACTTTGATCTCAAATTTGTTAGTTCCTTTCGATGGAAGACAGTGGTGGCTGTGGGGTGCTTGGCTAACCCCTCCCCTTTCCTGCGCTTCTGTGTCCCCAGCTTCTAAATGCAGGCATGACAATAACGCTATCGATAATGTCATAATGGCTAGCATATCATTGCTTAATGTCAGACATGCAATTCCATCTCATTCTCCCAACATGCTGTGATGTAAAAATACCAATCAATTATAATCACGGCTCACATTTGTGGTGCCAAGAAGTATTATGGAAACTATTGGACATGGGTCATTGAATACTTCCTATTCTGTTACCCATCTTTCACATGAACGCTGAAGCACAGAGAGGTTTGGGAACTTGGGCAAGATCACTCAGCTAAGAAGAAGCAGGACTATGGTTTGAACTAGGGAGGCCGGCTCCACGGTGTGGACAGATTCTATAGAGGATGCCTTGTTCAGAGAGGACACTGAGGTTCAGAATGGTGAAGGACTCTACCAGGGCATCACAGGTGATAGCAGACCAAACAAACCTTGTTGTTAGGGGCAATGGGGGGGGGGGGGAGGCGGGAACTAGTGGCCTTTCTGGCTGGTGTCTGGAAACCTGGCTGGCTGACAAACGCCACTAGGAGGGAAAGGAGGCTACGGAGCAAGAGGACTCCAGTGAAGACGTCGGAAGAAAACCCAGCCTTGGGAGTTATTTGAAAACAATCGAACTGCCTGTAATCCCAGCTATGGAGAGGCTAGGGTGGGATGACTGGAGATTGAAGGTCATCCTGGGCTACATAGCCAGACCCTGTCTCAAAAAAAAAAAAAGTAAAATGAATAAACAAATAAAAAATGGAGCTAGGGATGTAGCTCAATTGTGGAACCTTTGCCTAGAATTCTCTAGTGGGGGCCTGAGTGCATGTCACAGTGGTAGAGCCCCTGCCTAGAATCCCCCAGTGAGGGGCTGGAGTGTGGCTCAGTGGAAGAGCACCTGCCTAAAGTCCCTCAGTGAGGGCCTGGGGGTGTGGCTCAGTGGTGGAACCCCTGCCTAGAATCCCCCAGTGAGGGGCTGGGGGTGTGGCTCAGTGGTAGAGCCCCTGCCTAGAATCCCCCAGTGAGGGGCTGGGAGTGTGGCTCAGTGGTAGAGCCCCTGCCTAGAATCCCCCAGTGAGGGGCTGGGGGTGTGGCTCAGTGGTAGAGCCCCTGCCTAGAATCCCCCAGTGAGGGGCTGGGGGTGTGGCTCAGTGGTAGAGCCCCTGCCTAGAATCCCCCAGTGAGGGGCTGGGGGTGTGGCTCAGTGGTAGAGACCCTGCCTAGAATCCCTCAGTGAGGGGCTGGGGTGTGGCTCAGTGGTAGAGCCCCTGCCTAGAATCCCCCAGTGAGGGGCTGGGGGCGTGGCTCAACAATCAAATACTTGCCCAGCATGTGCAAGGCACTGAGCTTTATACCCAGTACCAAGGGTTTTTTTTGGGGGGGGGCGGAACCTGTCTGGTAGACTTAAGAGTGTCCCCAGAAAGAGCCTCAAGTGGCTCAGCTGGTACAGGTGCTTTCTGCACAGGCCTGGCCATGTGGATGTGATTCCTGGATCCCACGCAAAGGCAAAAGGAGAGACACACCTCCAAAACGCTGCCCTCTCCCCTTCTTGCACACATTGTGGCACACGAGCGCACACATACATCATGCACACACACACAATAATAAAAAATAAATGTAAGAGTGTCACCTATTGTGCAGACTGTAATTCTTAAGCTCTAACTTCAGTGACCAGATCATCTTACCTGGCCCACCATCGGCGGCACAGACATATCTCACACCCCAGGAGCTCCCCACCCAGATCTCAACCCCAGAATCCCTTACCCCAAACACACACACACACAAACACACACACACACAAACACACACACACACACACACACACACACACACACACACACACACACACACACACAAGCCACCAGGACAAAAGCCCCGGATGGATAGAGGCTGGAGAGATGGCTCAGCAGTTAAGAGCACGTGTTCTCGCAGAGGACCCTAGTTCAATCCTCAGCATCTGCACAGTGGCTCACAACCGGTTGTAACTACAGTTCCTGGGGAGTCAATGCCTTCTTCTGACTTCCGAGGGCACTAGGTATGCATGTGGTGCACATTATACATTTTTTTAAAGATTTATTTTATGTCTCTGAGTGTTTTGCTCACATGTGCTCACTTAAGCAAATCACTTAGTACATATAAAATATATAAATCTAAAACTAAGAAAAAAAAAGAGTCATGGAAGGAAAACTTCCTTGCCAGGTTTAAAGCATATCACCACCGTGTATTTGGCATGGGACTCTTAACAAGGGATATCAATGCTCCAAACCTCAGTCTCCCTTCTGGAAAATGGGGTCAGCAGGATTTACTGCTCTAGAGAAACTGACTGGTCTGGGTGGTTCCGTCTAGTTACTGAAATTCCCTGTGTGAGCCAAACATGGTGACCCAGGTTGGTAGCCCCCCGACTCCCCCCAGCATCCATATAGGTTCTGGGAATCCAAACTCCAGTCCTCTTGCTGGTGCGTATTATCACTACCCTATCATGGCTTCTAACTCTGAATATGGAAGAATAATCCTTTTTTAAATTATCTTTATTTTAAATTGT